TATTTGCGAGTTAGGCTAGATAAACAATGAATAATGACCAAGATCAAATTTTAAGACTTTTTCCTGAAAAAAAATCAACAAAACGTAGCCAACTGACAGTTGTATTGGAAAGAGTAATGAACTCAAGGAAACTGAGAAATTATTTACTAAATTATTTTTTGAAAACATTTTGAATTTCGAAAAAAGAGATGGTCGTGAATTGAGCGTGAACAAAATTGCTTGAAAAAAAATCGCCAAAACCAATATAAGAGTACTCACTACGTTCATTAATCCTAAAAATGTCGACCTCACTACGTTCATCGACACTCAACCGATCGGCTTTATAAAGACTGAAATTTACATTTTTACTGCAAATTCCTTTCCAGGCAGACCCTTGACTAGCGTTGAGTCCAATTACCTACATCAAACACAGGAAATGATCCCAGTTATTGATGGAAACGGAAATTTCTTTTCGCTCCATCATTGATATGCCATCAAACGCTGGAAATTATTCCAGCTATTGGAGGAAACGGAAACTTCTTCTCGCTCTCATAAATAATAAGTAGTTGAAAACAATTTTTCTGAGCTTACATTTTATATTGCGAACTTTCAATTTTCCAAGACATCATCCCGCATCTTTTTTATAATAGATATGCGCATCAAATGAGGGCTAAAAGCACCATCAAAGACGTTCGAAGGAACTAACTCATAACCTGTTTGGAATGAAATTAGCTGCCATGAAATAAGTACACAAACAACGGTTTAAAAAATAATAGGAAACTATATTTGTACATCAACCTATATTTGTGCATCACACGAGCTCCCAACTACGCCTCTAAGACCGAAATATAAACAAGGACAGCCGGTTCCGACCACAGGTGTAAGGTAATTAAAACATGGCCAACATACAAATGGATCAGAGTCAATAAACGCAAAGAAACAAAAAAATACTGGCTTGTTTTTTGAAAAAATCTTTCAAATTTCAAAAAAAATGCCTTCAAAGCTCTTTTAATTTCTAGAACAATTTATGACCGGCATTTATTCAATAAAATTAACAATATGAGAAACTGAATCAATTAGTAAAGTCGATTCTATCAATTTTAGCGTCATTTTTTCACGAACGGAGAAGCTGGCATAAAGCAGATTTAATTATAAAAGAAGTAGGAAATTAAGCTTCGATAGATTAACCGAAATAGATAATCAGCACCAAAATAATAGTTTCGAAGACTCAGATAATAGAAAAAACACGTTATGGCTGAAACAAACATTTACCGTCACAAAGCTCTCGCGTGCGTAATCAAACCATAAGAAGCAGTTTCGAGAAACACAGATCAGGCTAACAGAAAGTTGTTCGTAAACTATAATATCTCAACCATACAAAACACTTCAACAATAAGATCTATGATAAACCAAGTAATTTTGAAAATGCCTGACAATATCTCAAAAAAGTACACAAAGTCGACACACAGCTTCTCACAACATGTGATAAAACACAAACATAGCATGGCAAACTAGCAAAACAAATTGAAACGAAAGCCGCTAAGACAAAAAATTGAAACGTCGAGAAAAGCTTGATCAACCCAGAGTTTCAACTCTTTATCTCAATTTGTCTTGAATAAAAAAAACTGAAAGTAAATTCGCATTTAAACAAAACGTACAACAATTTGAGCAGACACCCGTTGAACCATAAAATTCCGACAATTTGAGCCTGCAAATGTTTTCACAAAAATTCCTTTTAAAAATAATCAATTATCCCCTCAAAAGCGTCACAAGCATAAAAAACTTGTTTTACTCACCCAAAGGTGCTATACAAGACCACTAAGCCGACCAGATATAAACAGAAATATTTTAAAGTCCAGTAAACAAAAAAAAAACGGTAACTAAACCAAACCAGAGCAATTGAAAACGACTCACAATTAAATAGCATAGCCATCTGACGGTTGGAAAAGAATAATGAACTCAAAGAAACAGAAAAAAAACTGACTTGTTTTTTTGAAAAAATCTCAGCCTTCGAATTTCGAAGAAAAGGATGGCCTTAAACCTCTTTGAATTTCTGAACAATTTATATTCACAATTTTTTCATGAAATCAATCCAATTTTAGAAAACTGGATCAATATGTAATGATTTTATTTCGCTCTGATAATTATATTTGATGATTTTATTTGAAATCTGATAATTAAATTCCACTTTCGAAAAAAGAAGTCAATCATGTTTTTGTTATCTTTAAACTTTTGCTGTTTGATAGTTGAGCTTGTCTTCCTTTTAACAATGAAAATGCACTGAGCTTAAAAAAAATCACAAGCCAAACCGCGAAAAATCAAAATTAAGCGTGAACAATTTTTAAAACTTTTTCCTAAAACAAAAAAAATCACCAAGACCTATATAAGTCTTCACTACGTTCATTACTCTTCATAAGATAACAAATTTTCTTTTTTTCTTGGCGGTAAGAGGGAGTTTAACTAGATGAATCTGCAAGGACACGGTGAACATATCTTGAAAAACTGTAACTATTTGGTAAATTAGATAGGAAGTTATTTCTTTCACTCATTAGCCTGTAAGCTGTTAGACTGAAACGGCTTTTGCACAAAAAATTCGACCAATTCCAATTATTTACGTGAAGTACGTGGTGAGAACCCTAATTTACTTCAATCTAAATCAAGTGAAAGTAGCATATATAATAAGCGAGTATTTTGCTTCATATGAGGCAAACCAAAAATTCCATTGTACTTGTTATTGAGCTCATGATCTTCACATGGTTCAAGTTTGTTATTTTAAGACAACTGGGAAAAACGACTTCGCAGTATGGCTCGGAACAACGCTTGATCTCTGCTTAATTAGTTACCAGGAAAAACTCATTTAGTAAAGATAGCCAATTGCTGCACGGCTAGCACCGAACGTTCGGACTACAAATGTCTTTGCAAAACAAAATTTTTTAAAATCCGCAGGCAGCTCTCATAAACCTTCAGCTTCATCTTCCTGCGAAAACTCTAACTAGCCATCACAATTTTCTGTTGTTCCAATATTTGTTTGCTTGTTTTTGATTAATTCAATTGAGTAACTTATAAAGACTATTTTGCAGTCCCCTTTCGAACAATCAATGAAGAGTCTGCACAGATGTACCAAAATGAAATGAAATGAAACTGACCAAATAAAACAATAAGTCTAAGTTCATAGAAAAGATTTCGTCTTCTGAAAATCGCTGGATTCCGGTCATTTCAAATTCAGTTGAGCTATCCTCACTCATTTAAATTACTTCGTAGGTGAGCGGGTATTGAATGGAGGAGAACAAGGGATGGAACTGTAGCCTCCGGTGGTGCAATTACTCGAGATTTGAACGAGGCTTAGGGGGCACCTTCGCCTTAAATAACGATCTACCGTCCTCTAAACTTCCATCCTTAGGCTGTTTCTTCTCGGAATGGATTGATTTTTCAAATTCTTAGGCTTCCTATCCAATTTATTTTCATTCCAAAATAAAAAAAATCGAACTTGCCTTTTCCTTACCAAATCGAGCACAACAAAGAACAGCTCATTTGTACTGCAAGGAAAGGATGGTAAAAAAAATCTAAGCGCGCTCATTTTTTAGACGAGCTTTTTTAAATGGAATGATTGAAAATCGGGGGCTTTGATACAGGATCAAGGCTTCAATAACATGTCGTAAAACCTCCTCGACTGCAAAATTACAAGACAAGCCAACACAATTTAGCAATCAAATGCTACATATATATACAGGATTCGGAAAGCAATCAAGAATTACAATTTCGGTGCAAAGATGTATCTTTTTCGAAAACAAAGAAAAGCTATTTAGTGCATCCACGACACGTGAAATAAAATTTTATTTTTGAATCAAATAGATTTTTACAGCGGAAATTAGAGCAAACAATCGTGTTTCATACACTAGCTCAGTAAAACAACAAAACAAACGCTCGTTTGACCTTGAATCCTGAATTTATGTTCACATTAATCGTCTCATTTTGTCATCTTGAGAATCACTTAAAGATAGGTTACATAGATGGACGAGTCACAGATTAACAAATAGAACCAAACAAATCAGTCTACATCTGCCTGTGCTCAAAAAAAATTTGATTTTTTGCCCAATTTTTAATGAGTAAATGAAGATTTTTGACATCTATTCCCAGCCTTAAAACAGATACCAAGAGAATCTTAAACTCACAAAAACTTCTTTTGAGCTTTCATTAAACTATAACAAGTAAAGATAAATTAGTAAAGCACGTTCAGTAATTGGAGAAACAAAACTATTGAACTATTTTAAAAAATCCCATTAGCAGGGAGAAATTTTCCATCTTTGAACATTTCGAGTTCTAAACCACACCCCTTCAGAGCAATACGAATTCATAGCGTTCTCATTAAAACAGGTAACGTCACATCACTTTCTCGCTTTCTTTATTTTTTAAACTCGTGTTAAAGACTGGTAGTGCTGCGGGGGGTGGGGTGGGCTATTCTCATGCGCGAAGGACCGAATGGGCGAAAAAACTCGTGAGCGAAAGACCAAAAACTAAATTAGCAGAAAGTCAATTTTTAAAAAGAAGCAATTGCCATTCAATTAAATTTAATTAAATGAAGCAATATTTGCTTCTTTCATAAAGAAACCCTTGAAATACAAAATTTGTTCTAATTCGGCGGCGGCCAGTGACAATTTGAAAATTTTGCATATTTCTGCCGTTTTTATATTCGGCAAATATCAATATTCAGTCCCTGGAAATGTCAACTTTCTTTCCAAGTTTTAGATTACTGAAATCTGATTTTTATTTTCGAGCATTCGGTCCTTGGCGTATGAGGGATTACACCATGCTGCGGTACGGGTAAATCAAACGCAGATTCATTTTACTGAGTTGAAAAAGTGACTCATTGGTGTTATCCTTTTAAGTACTCTAAATAAAGTACTGGTCATTACTTCTCAGTTCAAGTAATAATAGTGAAGATGCACTTTACTGAGATGGCATAAGAAAAAAAATAGTTATTAAAAAGTGGAATATGAAGGATTAATAGCAAAATGACAAACCCAGAGAGAGCTGTTGTTGTTGATGAGCACTGTTAACATTAACAGCCGCCTGGCTGTTTGCTCCACCGCCTCCCGTTTGGAGCATATCAGTGGTCGGACTGTGTTCACTACCCGAGGAAGACGAAGGCACAGTTGCTGTCCCCGTACCATCACCAGGTCCCGCCGAGTTAGTTCCCTTGGCGCCTCCTGCGGACAAGGACGATGCCTGGGGGTGCTGTTGGGGCGATCCACCCACCGAGGGGCTGTGTTGCACATTCATTCCAGGATGTGACATCGCAATGGGTGGGGGTATGTCCTCGTCTTTGACAACTTTCCCTGCGTTCACACTTCGTTTTTGGTCTTCCAGTGTCTAAAAAAGAACGTTCGACTTTGTATTTGACGGCTCTCAAGTGCAAAAAGGGCAACAACAAAAAAACTAATCGTTTGTAGTCGCTACGAAAAAAAAACATATTTTTGATCATATATCAAATTGCTGAAAAGTAAACTCATCATATATCAAATCGCTACTTTCCATTTAAAATTGGCTATCTAGAAAATAGAACCGAAATTCTTGATAAAATTTTAAAGCAGTTGCATTATTTTGACGTCGTGGTTTTTAAGGACACTAGCAAGTTATTTGGTATTTCAATTCGAGATGGAACTGCGAACTCTAACGGACAATGAAAGAATTATCTTACATCAATCAGATGAAAAAATACACACCTGTCGTCAATGGCTCTTCACCAAACGGATTTTTCGGGCTCTACTTTTTAAAATCTAATTAAAGAATAAAGTAAAATTCAAAACAAACGCTTAACGAATTATATGTGCACTATAAGCGAATGGTAAATATTTGCCCAAAATTACTTATTTAGCCCTCAAGGACCCAGTCACAAAATCTATCAAAAAATCCGTTTTAACCATTTTTGACGATAAACAATAAAATTTATGTTTTTGATTATTTTTTAGCTTAAAAAACTATCTATCTATATAAAGGCGTCTTCATTTCGTCTATTGACACATGAAAAACTTTGCGTAAAAATGTGGAAGATCAAGTTTTTCAAAAAACAAGTCAAAAATTCAGTTTTTGGACACTTTTTGAAAAACGTATATATTCCGATTTGATCATGCGTGCAAATCGCAAGCGTAATCAATTAAAGCTTGAGACCAAAGGCGAATCTTGGCGTTTCTAGAGGGGGTCGATTAAAAACTTACTGTACCTTTCAAAACCAAAAACTTTGCCCCCTCCCAACTTTGTTTTTTGTATTTATCGGCGGCTATAATGGGAAAAGCCAAAAATTAAAACTAACTTTTTGACTGAAAAACTAATTTTTTCGTAGTTAAGTAGTTCCGAAAGTATTTCATTTCGAGTCAATCACACGCACCGGTATATCAGGTTGATCGATAAATCATGGTCATAAAAACACCCAGTAGAAGATTAACTAAATCGAAATTAACACTCAGAGACGAAGCTGCACTTCGCAGACACAAGCAATAAAACGGCAACAAGTAGCTTGAACACAGAGGCGAAGCGGAGCTTCGCATCACTTGCAATACCACACAAATAGCATTGCAAGCTAGCAGCCAGGAAATGAAAGAAGAGCCACTAAGTCCGAAGAAATCGGAAAACTTTTCGAAGAAAACGCAACTAAAAAGCTTCAAAATGTTACCTGGACGGATGCTCTATTTGCGTTAAACAAGTTCAGAAACATTCGGCGGCGTTTAATGAAAATTCAAAATCAATTTTTGAGCAAAAAAAAATTGTTGTCATAAAAAAATTTGAATTATAAACTCTATTCTGAGATTTCTAACGTTTTGCGCGATCCGGAGAAAACATACAAATTAGGTTAGTAAGCCGATAAATTATAAGCCGAAACTATTCGGGCCGAAAATTTCTTCAAGCAAAAAAATGTAAAATAAAAAAGGAAATTATACGAGGTCGTGGCTAGTAGAACTACAAATTGCAGGAGTAAATGAAAAGATAAAAAGCAACTACAATTAAAACTGCAAGCAGAAAAATTCTAAGATGTGACAACTAAGCCGGCAAAACATAAGCAGACAAATAATAAGCCGACAATTTTTTGAAACGGATTATTTCCCGTTTGAAAAAAACGGTCCTGGTCAAATTCGAACCAAGGAACTTTACGGCACCAGGCGTATTCGTTACCTCCAGACTAAATGTGCCAGAGAAGCTTAGAAATTTGATTTCAATATGAACCAAGAGACCAAGTGATTCCGTTCAATAAGTTTGAAGTTTTTCTCTCGAAAGAAAGTCTATTTTCCGATTTGATAACGTTTGCTAATCGCAAGCGTAGAACGGTAAAAAAGTGAAATGACTTAAAATAAAACTTCTGATATGTGTTGGGTTCAAACCCACGACCCCCTCGAGGTAATGAGCACTCTAGACTAATGAGCAATTCAAGTTGCGAGTTGGGTTAGAAAAACTAGGATTCGTAATATAAATCTTCGTTAGCTACCTCCTTTGTGACACAAATAATTTTCATATTTAGTGAAACAAATAATTTCCAGATTTACAGAAAAAAGCGTTAATTGCAGATGAAACCAGGATATGGCACTCACTTTGATCTGTCTGGTGTATCTGCGTATTTTGCTGCTATCCTCGGTCTGTTGGGCCTTTTCCAGAGCAGCTTTGTACTGGCGCAGTCTGTCATCTATAACCTCCATCAGGTTGCCATACACAGGCTTGGGCTGAAAAGACAAGCGCAAACATAGAACAACGATGATTTTTTTTAAACTTAAGACAGTTTAGCACCAGGTAGTTCAAAAATTTGTCTATAAATTTATGAACTACAAAATGCGGTTTCTACTGACTTGATAAGTTAAAATTATAGAAAACTCATTGCTAAATCAAAGTCATTAGAAAGAGCATTAAATCTTGAGCACTCAAGCCCAGATCTTAGGGGCTCCAAGGATTTTGGTGGTTCTCCAAGAGATTATTTGGAAATAGTATGCTGGCGGTCCATAAATATTTAACTGTGCACCTCTGTCATTGCCAGACTCCACGCAGTCAAAATAACTGCGATGTTGTCGAATGCATCATTACAATAATCGCCACACGGAGACAGACATTATTGATGAACTGAGACTACCCAAAATGACCAACTGTACTTGAAAATCAAAAGAACAGATACTTAAAAGACCATTTTTGAAGAAATACAGTTCTAAATAGGAAACACAAGGAATTCAATCAACTGTGGCAAACTGTATTTATGGTGGCATATTACAGGAAACGCTTTCAAGAATAATAAGCAGAGCAACTCCGGAAACATTTTCTTCCGTTAAAGGAATCTGAAACTAATAAGGAAATTTATCAGCCTTAACTGTATACATGACTGAGCTAAAGAAAACATTTTTCTGTCAGACAAAGACCAGTCACAAAAAATCAATGTTTTGTGACCTAAGATTGGTTTATCTTTGAGTAAATTTGATTTGAAACGTCTGACACTGCTTTGATTTAGAAAAATAAACCATGGGAAGTTTCATACGAAACCAATTTCGGGCTGTCTGAATTCGGTCACCTTTATAAATCCAAATGAAATCAATTATGGTCTGTCAAAATTTCGTCGCACTTGTAGGAGAAAAGCAAAGAAAAATTTGCTAAGAACGGATCAAAAATGATAGTTTACAAACATACGTCAACATGATGCTCGTCAAAGGCGTTGTTGTGTGATGTAAAGTAAGGGATATCGAAGTCGTCAAAGTAACGCTGATCCTCCATTTGAGGCCCTGGACTGCAACATGTGTCGTCAAACAACATATTGGCCTCGTTCAAAAAGTCCTCGTGACTATAATTGGTGGTCATTACGTTAGGCAGTGTTGTGGTATGCAGCGCTGTGGAACTTCCTGTATTGAGGATCCCATTGGACAATAAATGGAAGTCATCTCTAGGGAAGAAACCTTTCTCCTCACCCTGTGAATAACCAGTTGGCGAGGGATCAGACTTTTCAAACTGCGAACTATTACTAAGCGGTAAGGCTGCCGTCTGATTAGCTGAAGTTAATAAATTATTTGTATTGGCATTCATTCCAACGCCAGGCACTGTAGATACATTGTTGTAGGCCATATTCACAGGAGCAGTGTTGTTAATAAAGGTCCGACTTGTTTTCTGTTTCTGAATACTGTTCATGTAATGATAGCGTCTCCTCGCACGCATGTGATGACCTGGTCTTCGTCTATTACTCATGTGCTTCTCGCACGTGACTTGAGTAAGATGTGCGGTGTCGATGAAAGGTGGCTGGAAATACTGCATCACTTGCGCATGTTGCGGGTGAACTAACGAGTGCGGTTGATGCATAACAGCTGGCGCGTTTCCACTATGCGCCATTTGAGCGTGTGACACCGCTAACTGTTGCAATTGCTGTTGAGTTAACTGGTAAGTCTGCAGGTATTGTTGCAGGGCAGTGTTATAACTACTGTTGTATGGCATTCTAGAGCCCATGGTTTGTGAGCCAGGCACTGGATTCAGTCCATGACCATAAGATGGGCGATTTTGGGAATCAGGGTTCGTTTGGTACGCAGTCCGGGTGCGGTTCTGCAACCGACAAAACTCACAGTCTCCCATTTCTGAATCAAGGCATCAATAATATTTATTTTCAATAAAATGCATTTTCAGTGTCCAAGTACATATATCCAAGCAAATAAAATGGTCCGATAAGACTGCGATTTTAATATCTTTGCCGATTCGTTGGCCAAAAATTAAAGGCGCCAAGCAACAGATTGCTGCGTGACATCAATAAAACTCAATTGAACTTCAATCTTCATTTGAATAACAAAAGCTCGCCTTCCATAACGCGTGTAATAGTGACGAACACAGACTCAACATTCAAAGAGACTGAAAGTTGAGCTCATTTCCATATGGTAATTGAAAAAATTCAGTGCAGATGAAATTCAATTCTAGCGAATGGAGAATAAATTGTTCCTCATTCAGCTACTTATAATAGACTCAAATTTGTCATTCAGTAGCTTTCAAATGATCTAGTCTTCTCAAAGAACAAGCGCACTATGTGTAGCAAAAAGCCTTGACCAACCAATTTCGGAAGCCATAATCTTTTATATCAAATGGCAGTTATAATATTCGTTCACCCCTTGGTTGTCTGAAGAAAGATCTCAAAAATATGGACTACAATAAAGAAAGATAAAGAATAATTTCGACTGGAGTTTTCAACCAAATTAGGGCACTAGACTGAAAACTGATGCAAAAGGGGAACAAATGTTTCCTTTTTTAAACCCAGTGGTCTAAAAAATTGAGTAGGCTGAGTAATTACGTATGAGTATTTCAGCTTTCGGCGATTAGGGTTGGCTCTGAATCTAATTATGCGTTTTTCAATCGAGGTGTAATTGAGAGCACTGTTTTAGAGGGCGGCGTCAGGCTTGGAATTGGGTCTGTATTTATCTCGCGGGTAATACGACTACTGTGAAATCACCTGTGGGGAAGGAAAATCGAATTTAAATGAGGACAAACAAATCCACCATTTGCAAATGGGAGAATAAGTTGAGAAGCAATCATCTACACATCCTAATTCGGACTACTAAAAAATACAATCCGTAAGTCTGGCGGGTCGAACTGATTGCACGTCAAAAATCGGCAATGAGTCTTTATTCAAAATGGATAATTATGCTATGTTTATACCAAAGCTAATCCAAAACTGGCAAAAAATAAGAGTAAAGATGAAACAAAGCTAACGTCCTGAAATTAAATGAAACTAAATCTTTTTCACAAGAAAGAACAGTTGTGAATTTTTGAGTTAAGCAAGTTTATTTCACGACGATAAACTCTAATCCTTTTTTATTTCGAGAGTGCATGATTCTGAGACCGAGAGTTAAGGGGCGGTACGGTTTTATTTAATTTTGCTATTCCAGCTCAGACTCTCCAACACTGAACAATTAAGTCAACTAATGAAGGTAAGAAGGCCGGTATGCAAATATGGGGATATGGTATCCTATCCACAATGCGACTGGCTGGCACTAAAAGGATTAAAATCTGGGAGTTCTAATTCCTTAATGGCATTACTTCAACTGAAGCCTAACAATGAGGCCAAAAACAATAGGGTCTGCTGCTGAGTGGAAAGTAGAGTGGACTAGAGTAAGTAACCAGGCACTCCTTGAACTGAGTAACAAAAAAGGCTGCCAGAAAATAAAAGAGAAAAAATAAAGGCCAGAGAAATCCACTGAAACAATTAGCTTTCTTGGCACAATACCGAAGAAATGCACAGAGCAAATAAATGCTTATGAATTAAGTGAAACAATCGCAGGCGATATACAAGCACGTTTGCATTGTTAACGTCCAGCTCTTAGTTTGGCTAGCTGTTATTTTGGTGTGATATTTTTTTTTCACAAAGTTACCATCAATACACTACACTATCATTGGTACCGTTTGATAATTTAACTGACTATTAAAAGCAAAAGAAAAAGCAATTCCACTGAGCGATAACATTTCAGCTGCAATCTATTCCGTACTTTTTCTTATCTCTGCCATTCAAATGGCATTTTTCGCTATTTCAGATTTAACACGGTGGTAACAGCGGTAGTAGCAATAGTAAAATGGCGGTAGTAACTAGTAATTTTTAAACACTTGCAAATTTATTTCCATCAATTCGTTCCGCTTAAACGCAGGTAAGTCACTGGAAATTTGCGAATATCAGCCAATGGCCTTTCGCGTATTTACCGGAAAATTTCCAGTTTTAAGAGATATTTAATAGTCTTCTGGCCTCCGTTCAAGCGTCTGATTTATCAACCACCGTTCTGCAATCCTACTATATTTTCATTACCATTATTTTACATCCAAAATATATACGAGACCTTCAGTATAATTCTGCTAACCGGAACACTTGGAAAAAGCTTGAGACGATGGCAAGCAGCAATAAGACAAAAAACACGCGTCGAAATAAAAAAAAAAGAAAGCCAGAGAAAGCTATAAAATGGTAGCAGTCCTTTAGTTGCATAATAACATGTATATAAAATCAGTTTCAAGCGGGGACTCAGACCTTTCCATAATAAATTCCTACGTTACACTACCCTATTTTAATCAAGCGCGCTTTGAATTTATTCAGATCCTAGCAAAAAAATAAAATCGGCCAATCACCGACGACAACCGCCGCGTATTTACCAAAGGCTCGTGGTGTGCTTTTTCATCTCCTTTTAATACATCTTATCAATCTGAAGGAGGGGTTAAATTTGCATAACAGCACAGGCAAGGCACCTTATCAAAAGAAAACGCCAGGCAAATATTTGCAGTAAGAGGCCCTACTTTTTAGCACGAAGCTCTTCGGATAAAAATACGTTTTTAAGCTATAAATATTTCATCCCACTTAATGTTTTACTTGTTTTGGTTTGCTGTTTTGGCAGCATAAGAAACACATGAATGGCACTTTAAACTATGTTAATCCACAGCCATCTATTTTTCCTACTTGTTTTGCCTGCTTGGACCTGCGAAAGCACAAGTCTCAAACGTCACTTGTCAAAAAAATATTTGGAATAAGATTTAAAACACAAGAGATGGAGGAGCTCTTTGCAACCTTTTGCAAAACAAATAAAATCATGACTGGCATTAACTGAAATTAAGACATGCCTAACATTGATCTTAAACACAGAAAAAAAATAAAGCTAAACGCCGAAAAAACCAAAACAGTATATTCTGGACGGCGATATGTAAAACAAATCAAAATCATGATTTTTCAATAACGTAACTGAGGCTAAGTCTTAAACACTGGAAATGAATTTTAAAAAGCCAATTGGAAAAACGTGAATGACATCGTAAAAGTAAAAATGTTCCAACAACTCATCTTTGCAAGGAAATTTATCACAGAGGCAAAGTTGAGTTTCGCACCGCTTTCAATAAAAAACACACGGGAAAACATTCCCAACAGGCAGTTGCAAAAACGTCAATAAACGCAAAAAAATAACAAAAAAATAACTGACTGGTTTTTCAAAAAAAAACTTCATCTTTCGAATTTCGAAGAAAAAAAATATATAACCTTGTGAACTCTTTGACCTTTCAGAACTAATGAATTAGACTTTTTGGTAAATTTAAACTTATTTGAGAAACCTGGATCAAAGATATTTTTTTTATTCCGCTGGAGAAAACTAAAAATTCAATTTAACTTTCTTAACTAGAAGTCGTTCGGATTTTTCACCATCATTTACGCTTTCTTAAATGGAGAATCTTCTTTTTAGCAAACAAAATTGAACTCAGAAGTCTTAAGATCATATGGGGCGTGAATAATTTTTCCGGGAAAAAGACCTAACAAAATATCAACGCAAATATAAGTCTTTATCTTGCCTTCATTTGAAAAAAAAAAACTAGTTAAGAACAGTAATATATTTCCAACTTTTCAAAAAACAAACAAACGAATCTAAGACAAACCACAATAAACTTACTCTCTATTAAACTTTGCATCATTAAATCTAATTTAACCAACTAAGACAATTATTGGCGAAGGAATCATTTGTGAATACGTTGAAAACTCGGATTTTGCTTTATAAAAAATTTTACAACTTAATTTAAGACAAGGCTTGGTTCATCACTTGCTTGTGATTGAGAGAAATGTAAACAATAAATCGCAAATTGTGAAAAAAAACGGTCTAAGTTTCTTGGAAGTTAATTATCTGCGACATTACAAAAACTAAAAAAGCAATGATTTTCATTTTGGAGACAATTGCTTTAATCAGAACAGAGTCCATGCAGTGGAAACTTAGCCGACCAAAAAAAAATCAGAAAAGCAAAAGCCCGAAACCTTCTGTTTTCTGAGCAGAAAATTTTCAACTTCTAAGATGTCTAAGCTAAGCGGGCAAAAACAGTAAGCTGATAAATAATGAAATGATTGATGAACAGGAAAAAACGACCCGGTTGCATAACCCTTGCGAATTAAAAAGGTAAACAGCAGTTATTCAAACTCAAGCTTACTTTTTTGAATCGAAAGCTGTTTTCGTGCAACAAAAAGAACACAGAGCCAAAGGGCAGTTGAAACAGAGTCAATGGAAACAAGGAAAGAGACACAAAACTACCTCTGAAAAAACTTCAACTTTCGAAATTCAAAGTGAAAGATATATGGCCTTGAAGCTCTTTGCAGTTTAAGAACAATTTATGAATGACACTTTTTGATAAAATTAACCCAATTTGAGAAAACTGGATCAATAGATACCGTTTATTTCAGCTCGGAAGTCTGAAAATTTCTTTTTCGGAAGTCGAATTTCTTTTTCGAAACTAAAAGATTATCACGTTTTCGTGACCTTTCCAATTTCGTAACTCGGGAACCCAATTTTTGGGAGATCAAACTAAATTGAACTCAAATAATGCATATATAACTAGAATCATTCATAAATGCATTAATATGTATGAATGCACTTCTGTAAAATTTTAGGGCATTTAAAGACTTTTCACGAAAAAAATGTAATATAATCATCACGACCAATATAAGACACTGAGCTACGTCATCAACTCTTAAAAAACTGAGACAAAATAACTGAGGGTCTTTAATTCGTGCAGTGACACATTAGAAACAAAGCATGGAACATAATAGAAGTTTGCTAAGCGAATAGCACTGAGGATACTGACCAGTTATTTTTTCAACAACAAAAAATGAACTGTTCTAGTAGTAGTTTAAATCACGTTAAAATATTAGAGCTGAGTTTCTTTATACACCAGTCAATGCGGAAGTCAAAACTCTCAAGCCGTTTTTTGCATAGAAAATAATTTTAGAAATTTTTAATTGAGCTCGAAAGACCTTATACATTTCAAATTGCTTTTTTTCACATCTGATTTCAATTTTTTATACATGAACATGCATGATTATAAAACACGAAACCAAATTTCCCATTGTACAGGTAGATTTTAATTAGCAGCAGACAAAATTTTGTTTATTTCACCATTTGATTGCACCTTTTTTAAGAAATTTCGGGAAAATTAAGTCCTAGTAAAATTTGAAAGAACTAACAATAAGGCGAAACAGTAATTCGCAAATACAGCCAAAAAACGGCTAAAAGGAGCTTCAAGCACTACAAAAAAAAAGGCTTGGACAAAAATACCAAAATCACTTTAAAATAAAAAACGGAAACCAGGAAATTTAAACATGGACCTCCGAAACTAAAGTCACTTATCTTAATCACTTCTCTATCTATGACACCTTGCCTTCGACTACTTCCAGGCTTTTTCAACTATAAGAGATAGATATATCTAAATTATAAGCTATACATTTATGCTGAGTAATAAACTTTCAAAGGATCGTTGCACAAAAATATAAGTTAATGGTTGGAATAAAGTGGACTGATCGCATAATAATCCGCTCGCAGTTATTAAAACAAAAGAAAATGAAAGAGTATTCCAAAAACTTTACCGTGAATTTGTCTGAGATCCACAAACTCATCTCAAAACAAGTGCTTATTCGAATATCAGGGTTTCAATAAAACACGGGATTTCTTTTGGGTCCAATAACGTGCAAGGAACTGCCCTCTGATATAGTTAATTCCCACTTAATGAAGTGATTGGAACTTCACTCTTTTATATTAAAATCAGTTTCTGCGAATTGCAGATCTTTACATAGAGGCGAATTTGCAACTTCACGAATGCCAGCGAGAAAGCGGCTAAAATTCAGGAGCATTAAAATAAACAAAAACTCAATATTTGCATCTAACAATTTAGAATATAAAAACTGAAGGCACCCGTACTAACTTTGCATATAATAAATTAGAATGTATTAAACCAAATTGCGTATAAAATTTACACTTTAAAAATCTCGCGTAGTATATCCAGTATCATAATGGATTTGGAAAACTTCTAAAATGGATTTAAATTATGATACTGCTGTAAGAAACAAATAGCTTTTTTCGGTTCAATTGACTAAATAAGAAAGCATTATTTTGTTAACTTATTACGAATCAAATATCAAACCACATTACTAATCAAATGCCAAAGCGTTGTTATAGTGCTAATGCGGCCTATTGCTTCAAAAGTGCCACCAAGAGGAGCACTTTTATTTCCGACTTAGGTTGGAAAAAAAGTTGCATCGTAATATTACACTACGCTACGCGTGTAAAAAGTCTTATAGTAGTAAAAGGAAAATTCATTTTTTCGATTTTCTTTTTATTATTGATTTAATTTAGTGGAAACCATTTACGCGCCGCTCCAGGGTATGGCAGAACTGAATCTAGCGGTCTATTGAAAGTTTGTCTTCTCACATGACCGTTATTATCATTACTTTAGCAGGCAATCAAACAACCAATGTATTAGGCAAATTTGAGTATTGCAAGAATCGTAGAGTAAACAACACGAAGAAAAGGGTATATGATGCGCAATTTTCGACTTTCGCGTTATAACCCATGTAATTTTAGACCATTAGCACTTACGTTATTGGAGAGCCTAAGTTGCCTACTTTTTAGCTACTTAAAAATAAAAATAAAACTTTTTTGAATAAAGTTAACTTAAAAAAAAACCTTCTGGATTACATGTATTCACTTCGTTTACTGACACTTAAAAAGTGTGACTATTTGCGTAAAATTTTGGAGGACCACATTTGAAATTCGAAACAACGATTGTTTTTATACCTAATGCGTTTCTCGGAGGTAAAAATTTTATAGATATTTTGAATGGCAAATGTCGACAGTGTTAAATTTTAGATTACAAAACATTAGATACCTAGCATATCGTACCGAGTAATGACACATCCGGTTGTCATAAGAAATGTTTAGTTTTGCACATAATTTTATAGTTTTTCAGCGAAACTCTGATCAGTGCTTCTTACATTGAAACCAATATTTCTACTGAAAACAAAAAGCAAACAAGACTGCTCGTATCAGGGCGAAGCCCTGA